CTCGTGCCCGCGTCTCCACCCTCACGTCCCCTCTCTAGCCGCCTCCACCACGCTTTGATTGCAGCTCAGCTGAGCTCCAATTTTGGAGCTTTGCCCGCCACCGTGCTGTTATGAACCGTCACCGCCCGCGTCGTGGCCAGCCTTCGCCACTTTACCTCACGCAAATTCCTCTACACCACTATCTCGCCTTGGATCCCTCTCCACCGTGCGCACGCCAGTGACAGCGCTACCGCCTCTCCGCTGTTGCTAATGCGGCCGTGTCCACCGTGGCTTGTCGCCGTGCTCGTCGTGCGCATGTGGCCAGCATTGCTCAGGTAGTCGTCGGCCGAACCACCACTTCGACCAAGTTCGTGGTGTGCCCCTAATGCTTATTCCCTATCTCTACCATTCTGTTAGCGTTGTGGCTCATCAGAACGCGGTTGCTGCCATTGCAGGTCATCGCCGCCAGGGAGAGCCCGCTCTGCTTCACCCCTGTTCGTGCAACCACCGCCCATCATCGAGCGTCAGCCCATAGGTGAGCATCGGTCCCCTAGCTAGGTCTGCAAGGGTCCAGGGTGGCCGGCGATGTCGCCAGTGCCACTGCTCGCTGCGCCGGAGCGCGCAGGGGAGGCCAGGGACCATGCCATTGTAAAGAGGAGAGAGTACAAGGGTCTTTTTGCATAAGTGTTGTCTCTAGGAATAGTAACGTGGACTGCGGGTTGTTTTGTTCATAATCCAGGGGCGTTTTTGTTAATGTGCCAACGCGCCCGGGGGATTTCCCCTTCGTGGGCCGTCTCTGCGTGGGCCTACACCGCGTGGGCCACACCGTGGGCCGCCACACGCTTGTGCACGTGCGCTACGTCGCGTGGGCCGCTCGTGTGGGCCGCACGAGAGAATACGTTTTTCTTATTCATGAGGAATTAGAAATAGTTTTCTAATAGAATTTTTGAGCTGATCTTTGGTAAGTCATATAAAATCATATAGGTATCCAAAAATTGTGAAACAAATTTTGTTAAGTTCCTAAAATTGTGCTATATCTGTTAGTATATTTAGTTCATATATATACATGTTGATACCAGGAGCTATTAAATCATTTGAGAGTGCTTAATATTATTAGGTTAAATATTGTAGGAATTTTTGTGGTAGATTGGTGATAGCCTTAGCCCTAAAAATTTTATAGCAGCATCGTGGTATTATTATGTGCTCACTGTAATTTTTGTAGTTTTAGAATAGACTAGACATAAGGGTAGTTAAATGCTCTTTGTTTCAAATATACATTAAATCATTAGTAGAAATAAAAATATATCCTTCAATTATAAAGCTAGGTGTGTGTTAGTTAAACCCTACACTTTGCTTGGTAAAGATGATAGTTAGCTTAGTTTCTTAGTCTAGAGCTAGCTTAGTAGCTTAGCATGTGTATTCTTAGTTTAAGAGTTGTTGTTGCATAAATACTAAGTGTTGCATCATCATTGCATACATGTAGAGAACAAGTTGGTGGAGATCGTGACCATCGGTGATCACAAGTATGAGGAGGTGATCGAGGAGTACGAGGAGGAGATCCTCGTGCAGGAGGAGGACCTGGAGCCGCCACTGACTGACTCAGCTGACATTGCGCTTGCCGAAGGCAAGCCCCAGTGCATAACCCTTATTTTTTATAATCACTGAATATATATGTATCTGTGATGTGTATTTTCATTACAAGATCTATATTGAAACTACATGCATAGATAAACCTACCTATGAGTCCAACTAGCATAGGTCGAGTAGCCGCTATGCTTAGGCTATCGGTAGCGTGAGTAACCTGCCGTTACTCACAATAGGTGATTATTGTTACTCTCATGACAAAATGGTAAAAGGAAATGGAGACCGGACAGGGATATGGTACGGGTATTGGTGGAGGTAATAGGTTGTGTCCTGTGGCCAATAGGGCATAGCTTGGTTACACTATTTTCTCTGTCCGTATCGGTTAAGGACCATCCGTTGCAGTGGATTTTAGTTAGGTCACAGACTTATTATCCTGAGCACATACTTGCTTATGAGAGCGGGAAGGCTTGTTGCTCCCTTGTCATGGGTTCTGGCTCTTTCTGGACTGACTGATTGGATGCGAGGATAGTGGAGGTCTAAGCACCACACTGAGTCCGGGACTCAAGAGTGGGGGCTTGGAGTCCAAGTTTGGACGGGGACCTGGACCCCTTGACAGGAGAGTGGTGGGTTGGTCTTGCTTGTGCCTGGGGTACAAGCGGGGCATGTGTTTTAGGGTACCCAGTTGAGATACATTGGTTCATGAATCGTCGTGTGATACGGTATGGTTTGGCTACGATCTAGCACCGTAGTAAGAACTGAAAGATGAAAGGGAATGAACGATCTGATTGCTCAACTATTGCTTAAAAGTAGAACAGGTGCTTACATAGAATGGTTAGCTAATGAACTAATCATGACTGCTAATAAAACATATACATAAGGATTCACTACTAGTAATGCTTTTCACAAATAAAAAGGAAACCCAGCAAACCATAAAACTTATCATATCCTTTGGAGTTGAAAAGTTATTCCCACTAGTCGGATAAGTCTTGTGAGTACATTATGTAATCAGGGTTTATTTACCCCTATTGCGGGTGCAGCTTGAGGAGTGGTTGTTGTGTGGAGTATTCTTCTGGTGGGCACAGATGGATCCTTGTATCTTATCGTTAGATGTTTATTTCAATTTCGCTGTTTAAGATTCCACACTCTGAACTTGGTATAGTAATAATGTATTTCCAAGAACTCTTGTTGTATGAAATGGACTAAGTATTGTAAACTCGCTCTTATTATTGGATCCTAGATGAAAAACGTGGATTATTCGAGTTCTCCCTTGGGGTGTGCTCGATGGGACCGTCCGATGTAGCTTACTTTCGGGGTGCCTAGCGTCTAATGGAAGACAAGCGCCTCCGAAAGCGTGCTATTTCGGGACGGTTCTACCACATCACAGCCGCGTGGGGACAAGACTATGCGAGCGTAACAGAGACACGTTGGTTAGTGAGGAGATAAGGACAGAACCGGGACAAGCAAGAGCGCCAGGCACAGCGCGCCAAGGCGACAATGGCGCATGGGCGGTAGGGCAACGGTGGTGAGATGGTAGCGCTACGAGGAAGCCGAGGCGGCGGTGACTTGGCGGGTAGGTAGAACGAGTGGTGAGACGAGCGCCACGACGGCCAGACGGCGACTGCCGCGGCGTCGGCTTGGCCCGCGCATGGCCTGCCCGGCAGCGCGCATGCGGCAGAGACAATGCCAACGGGCAGGACTAGGCAGCGGCGTAGGATTGTAGAGAGAGCGGACACAACGATGCCGGCAGCAGGGACAAGCCCACGCGCGTGATGGCGAGAAGGACAGCAGCAGCACCACAGCGTGAGGCGGGAAGGGCGGCAGCGAGGTGGGGCAGCAACGCGATGGCCAGCATTGCAGAAGCGGACGACGGCAATGACCTTGGGCCGACCATTACAACCAACCCACGGCCATACAGGCCGAGCGGGCATCGACATCATGGCGTGCGACGCGCACGCCAGCCGGCAGCGCGCGACCAGCCGCTGAGGACCGTCGCGCGCAGACGGGCCATACATATGACGTGCACGAATTTTAAAGTGCGTCTAAAAACTAACCTAGCACAGTTGAAGCTAAACTACCTCGACCATGCTAATGAGGGTACATCAGTCTACCATGAGGAGCAAAAACACAACATTGACCTTTAGCTAGATTTTTCAGAATTAATTTACCAACATGGCATTGTCACACTGTTTTTAAACTTAAAATTTCTTCCAAGTCTTGAGCTGAATTTGACTTCAAGTTCCATTTTCAAGCCATTAGAAATACTAGCTAGTCATATTATTTTTCTACAGCAAGAGTTGCATTGTCATCTACAAAGTTTGTACTTCAAACTTTATTTAGGTGTCATACACATGTTCTATAATACTTTTGCTCAATAAAAATTGGTTTTCCACCCATGAGTTATTGAATAAATTTCTATTTAACATTTTTATTGGTTATTTTAAGCTACAAGAAATTTATCGACACCTTCTATCACATGCATTATTTTCATAAACACGATGCTCATGACATGATTTATTAGTTTGTTTAGGGCGTAACACCGAGGGTGTTACAGATGACGACTTCGTCCTGCTCACATCCACGGTACGCGTTCCTGTTTGGACACAGATATCGCGACCTGTCTTTCTCCTTGCGACGGCGCTCTGCTCCATGCCTCCATGGCCCTCTTCTCTGCCAGCATCCCTCCTCTGCCACCCTGTTCTTCGCGCATCCACCACCCGCGGCCGGCTGCTCCTGCCACCTCGCTGCTCCATGCGCTCCACACACACACACACCCCACCCCCCACCCATCGACCCCGCCCTCCCCTAAACACAGGGCATCGGTGAGCTCCACCGTGATGCCCCGTCGCCAACCCCACCCAACCGCTGTCTCCCGCCTCCACCGGTTGCCAACCCACCAAAATCTCCTTCTATAGCCATCGATGAATAGATCCCTAATGCCTTTGACGTCCTCGTCTCCGATGCCGGTGGTAGGGTGGGGCGTGGAGGGCGGTAGGGTGCGGTGGAGGTGGTAGGGTGGGCCAGCCCGCGTCATGCGCCGAGCGCAGAGCGCGACTGGAAGCCCGATAGAGCTTTCGTTCCTGTTTCCGTTGCTATTTTTCCTCAACTTTTAGCATCAGTACTCCAATCATATATAATATATATACAAGATAACAAGAACATAAGAGTAGCACATACGTATTCTCATATTTACACGAATCTGGAGAGGGAGCTTCGTCCTACTACACTTACACCTACTCACTCTGTGACGAACTTTATCCTCTCCAAAAACACACAAACAAAATACTCGCCAGCACAAATGTCCAAAAGCAGTGAAAATAGGGCGGGCGAAAATACAGTACAGCCTAATATACATACAGCACTATAGGAATAATTTTACAGTGGACACGAGCAACGCATGATCGACGACGAGGTCGCGGAGCGGAGACGAGTCGATGACATCACATAACGCTGCACCCAGCGCTGGGCTCTTCCTCGTAGTACTGCTGCTGCGCGTACGGGTTCCGGCCGTAGCCGCCGTACGGCCAGTGCCCGGCGGGGCCGTATGCCGCGGCGGGCCCGCCGCCGCCGTAGTACCCTCCGGCAGGCGGGCCGCTGTAGCTGCCGTACGGCTGCGTGCTGTACCCCAACTCGGGGGCGGCTGGCCAGATGGACGGCACGCCCATGCCCTGCGCGTGCTGAACCTGCTGCTGTGGCATTGGCCCCATCGCCGGCATCGGCATCCTCACGGGCGCCGCCGCGGCCATCGACATCGCCGGGCCGGTGCGGGGCGCCTCCAGCCGCGCCGCGATGGGGGTGTTGGTCCTGATGATCTTCGGCTTGCCGCCACCGTTCCCGTGCCCGTGCCCGCTGTGCGCGTGGCGCCCGGCCGGCTCGTCCATGTCGTCCAGGTCGAAGTCGTCGTCGTCCATGTCCATGTCCATGTCGTCGAACTTGACGTGCTTCTTCTCCGTCTTGCCGCCGCCGCCACCACCGAGCCCGCCATGGCCTCCGCCGCCGCCGTGCCCGCCATTGCCATGTCCCTGGCCCTGGCCGTGCCCGTTGCCGTTGGCCTTCCCTGGCTTGGGCGCCTTGCCTGGGGCGGCGGCGGCGCCGTGCTTCTGTTTCCCTCCGCCTCCGCCTCCGCCTCCGCCTCCACCCAAGCCGAAGCCGCCGAAGCCCCCGATGACGTGTATGTCGGTGATGACCTTGCCGGCGTCGGAGGTGAGCCTGTCGGCGACCTCCTCGCCGTCGAAGGGCCCGGACACCGTCACCGTGCTGTTCTTCTCGTCGTAGGAGATGGTCCTGATGCTCACTTTGTCTGTCGATCAATCATGGGCACAGATGATGGATCAGCTCATGTCCATGCTCATCGCAGCCTAGATTCATCACCTCTTTCTTTTCTTGCAGTTTAATTTGCAAAATCGTTTTTTTTTCTTGGAGGAGAGTCAGAGTAGTGACTTGTGACTGAGAATCTGGGAGAAACAGGGACGGAGAAACAAACCTTGGACCTTGCAGAGGACCTTCCTGATCTTCTTGTAGCACTTCTCACACTCAAGATCCACTCTCATGACAACCGTCGACATCTGAACGCAAACTTTGGTTCTTCAGTTTCATACACAAATGTACTTACAAGAAGCTCGATTAAAGAAAGGCAAGTGAAGAATGTTTTTTTTTCCCTGAGAAGCTGAGTAGCAGAGGAGGTAGCAGTAGTGATTATGCACAGAGTGTTTTGCAAGCTAACTAGATAGTGGTGTTAGATCCCTGAACCTGAATGATGCACAGTGCGGTGGTTGGTCCATTTTGCAAAAAGGAAAAGGAATCAACCGCGTTGCTTGTTGTCTACTTCACGCGTGGTACTCGAGTGTGTGGTGTAGGGCAGCGCAAAAGCCATCATGCGTTTAACGACAGCACCAAGTTAGTACTAGTATCTTGGAACAAATTCGTAGCTTAGCCAGAGGTTTGGAGAGTTGGAATTTGGAAGCACAACTAACAAGCTGAAGAGATGATGAGAAGAAAGGTGTCACAAATTCCCCTGTGTTCAATATATTTCTGCAACATGCATGAATATGAAGAGATGAGTTGCTTGCTACAAGATGAACCTAGCTAGCTATTTATGTGGATGGACTGGGAGAGTGCTATTACATTTTCCCCTGATAACTTAGATTTGGGGTTCAACAAAGGTGAAAATCCGTTGTGTGAGGTGTGTAATTTAAATGGCGTTGTAGAACGAGAGGAAACAAGAGGATGAACCTTGGGATCCGATCAAATGAGAAAACTGAATAGCATGAGACAGAGAGAGAGAGATGGAGATGGGAGGTTGCTTACCTTGCGCTGGCTGCTAACAAAGATAGCTCTCTGCCTGCCTGCCACGTTTGTTGCTGGCCAGGTGCACGAGGAAGAGGAAGAAGAGATAAGGGAAAGAGAGCAGAGAGGGGAGGGAGGGTGGTGGTGGGCACTGGGAAGTGTGTGGGTTGTGTGCAACGTGCCTCGGCTCTCAGCTCCGCCCGCTTTTGTTGAGGCACCAGCACCAGATGACTGGCATGGCAGGGCAGGCAGGCTGGCTGGCGCCGTGACGCTCTCGATTAAACGCATGATGGCAGACACCCACTCTGGAGTCTGGACCCTCCCGGCCTGGCCTCAAATCACCCTCCCTTTCCAACAGGCACAGCCATCGACAAGCTGTTCAATTCATCTGCTGCTGCTGATAGTAGCGCACTGATATTATATGATAGTAATATATCAACTTCTTCTTTTTTTTGGTAACAAGGTGCCCCACGATGTGTGAATGGGTTGAATGGCCGCGCCACTACCGCTAGTACCCCGGGAATTAGGCATTGCAATGCAATGGAGCTAGCTTTGGCTGGTAAACTAATCCATCTCCCCTGGTCTCCTGGGCTCCTGCTGGCTAGCGTAGTGGGTAGCAAAGTGTATGTAAGAATCGTTGCAATGCAAAAGATAAATATGTACTTCTATAATAATAAAGTTACTGTGATTCTAAAGTGACCGAGAAGCGAGTCACGTAGCTTTCGTGAGGAGCGGATCGGCGCGTCCGTGCGTGCGTGGTGGGGTTGTTGGCCTCAGCCTATCCGTCTATATATCCGTTACCTGGTGGGCACTGATACTTGTAGTAGCATTAGCAATAGGATTGCCACCACCTTGTTGTACTGTACCTCTGTCGTTCGTGCATGAATTAGCAAAGCAGGTGCCGACGTGATATGTCCTTCCTTGGGTTTAATGTGCGGGTGTACCTTCGCTCTCAAGTCTCAACTCAAGTACTCAACTGCACTTCGGAAAAGGAATTTGCTGGGCCTACGTCACCGACGCCTCTCGGACCCAGAAAGCGCTACGGATAGCGATCTCCTTCCAAACAGCAACATGTAACATCCGCCTCAGGGGCTTGCTTACAAGTTACAAGCAACACTCGACTTCTCTCTCGCCATATTTCCCTTTCTCCGACGGTGGACTGCTTGCATCGTTTTCGACCAGGAGTACACTCGTACCAAAAAGGCTGTGAATCTGGGACCAAAATTAGCTTACCTGATAACCCTGCGGATTCAGATTAGTATTCCCGGTCGGCGCATCAATTCCACAGTGCCAGAGTACAGACTGCGCACAAATAAAAATCACCCGCTGCCTGCGCGGCGGTGGATGCAAAATAACAAATATCCCGCGGAACTTTATCATCAACCAACGCCCAACGGGACAGCTGCACAATAACAGGTGAGATGCGATGATAACAGGCATGGAGACGCGCGCCCCAATTGTCCCTGTTTGGACCAGACACCGAAGAGGCGCAACAATCATGGCATCGACAGAGGATGCACCCGGCACAACTATACAAACAAAGCAACGCCTCAACCACCTGTCTCATCCCAGGGCTATCAGTTTTCACCTAGATAAAGCTGGACGGAAAACTCGAAGCTCATTAGCTCGCTCGACTCGTGGCTAGCTCGGCTCGGCTTGACTCGGCTCGTTAGGATAATGAGCCAAGCCAAGCCTAGGTTTTAGCTCGTTAGTATAACGAGCGAGCGAAGCTAGCTCATGAGCTACTCTCGCGAGCTCAACGAGCTGCGTTGCCAGGTTTGATCTGCGAGCCGCATTGCGCGATCCACAGTCACAGCCCAGCCCCTAGCCTATGGCCCATGCGCACATCGGCACGGCACATAACAGAACAAAACCCTAAGCCTCCTCAGGGGCTCACCGCTCAGGCGCTCACGCACGAGCCGCAGACACACTGCTGGGCGCGCAAGCTTCGCGACCAGCGCCTCTCCGTCTGCGAGCCGCCTGCTGGCCTTTTCACGACCGCGCCAGCCGCCCATCAGCGACGCAGCCGCACCTCCCTCCACCGCCCCATCCTCCTTCCGCCGTGAGCAAAAAGAAAGCGGCGGCGAGCCCAAGAAACTACCTTCCGCGCCCGTGAGCGGCGGCCAATGAAGCCAAAAAGCAAGAAATGAGATCGGTAGATAGGAAGAAGACAGCGAGCACCCACGCAAATCAAAGCGTGCTCACCTCTGCGAGTCACTCCGCCATCGGTCACCTCCGCCGCCCTTGACCCGTAAATCGGCGCCGACGCCGTAATCGAGCCGTCTCCGAGCAGATCGACACGGTGCGTAGCAATTCGTCTCGACCAAATCGGCGTCCCTGGTTGCAAATTGACCCATCTCCGCGGCGACATCCGCCATTGCTGCTGAGGAGCGTCGCCGTTACGCCCTCCCCGTGCAGGTGTGCGCTCCAACTCGGTCACTCCTTTTTCTTTTTTTTCTCTAGATCTTCCTCTGCCGATTGCCGAACTTCTACTGACCTGCTGACTGCTGTGCTCCAGGCCCTCAGCCGCGGCCATGGAGGGCGAGAATAGTGCATCGCTGCGTCCTCCAAGTTTGGAGTCAAGGAGTAAGATTTGTGGACGACGAACTAGCACTCGGTCTTCATCGAATCCCACTCTGTCCATGGACGTGGTGGTATGTTATCTAATTTCCAAATACTAGTTAAATGCAGCCAGAGACTTAAGTTGAATTTGCTTGATTCATTGATTGGTCCATAGTTATAGGAATCATTGCTATCCAGATTATTTAATTATTGCTATCCAGATAATGAATTTATCCCCAAAAATGAAGAATGTCATACTTTATTTTTAATGCAATAACAATGATTCAGCTATACATTAATACATGTATGTTTCTTTGTGCAGCCATTGGAGAAAGTTTTAGAAGATGAGGAGGACGATGATAACAACTTCGACCATAGGGATGATATGTCTGAAAGCCTACCTACAGTTGATGGTGGAAGTGGAAGCCAGAGGGGTGATGAGGTTGATGATGGCACATCAAAAGCTAAGAAGGCAAAGACAGGAGGGAAAAAAGCTGGTGTTACATTGTCTCCCAAGTGTAAGATAGCAAGAGGCAAAAGGGCTAATTGCTGGAAACATTTCAAGATTGTCAATGTCCCATCCAAGAAGGAGAGGGGTGTCATGGAGACAAAGGCAAAGTGTAAGTTCTGCTATAGGAGTTATGTGTACCATCCAGGTGGTGCTACAACAACTCTGAACCGGCACCTGGCTAATTGCACACAATATCAGAACAAGTTGGCAAAGGCTAAAGCTCAAGGTACACTAAACTTTGGTCCAGATGATGGCAATTCTCTTGTTAATCCTACTGAATATGATCATGAGCACACTAGAGAATTGATTGCCAAGATGATAATTGCTCATGAGTATTCATTTAGGATGGTAGAGCATAAATGGTTTAATATCTTGATGAAATGGATGAATGGTAACTATGAATTTATTGGTAGGAAGTCTATAAAAAATGAATGCATGAGGGTTTATGAATCTGAAAAAAACCAACTCAAGAGGAGTCTGAAAGAGGCAGAATCGATAAGTTTAACCACTGATTTATGGACGTCTAATCAAAACCTTCAGTACATGTGTTTGGTGGCACATTATATAGATGAGAATTGGGTTTTGCAATGCCGTGTCTTGAGCTTTATCGAGGTGGATCCTCCCCACACTGGTATTGTCATAGCTCAGGCTGTTTTTGAGTGTATGGTAGAATGGAAAATAGAAGACAAGGTCACAACAATAACTCTTGATAATGCTACAAACAATGATACGGCTGTTACAAATTTGAAGGCAAAGCTTCTTGCTAGAAAGAATTCAGTATTTGATCCTAATTACTTTCATATTCGTTGTGCTGCTCACATAGTCAATTTGGTTGTTAATGATGGCCTCCAACCAGTAGATAATTTGATAACTTGCTTGAGGAACAAAGTGAAATACTTTAAGAGGTCTCCATCTCGCATGTATAAGTTTGTGGAAGTATGCAACAATTATTCTGTCAAAGTAGGAAGAGGTTTAGCTTTGGATGTTAAAACAAGGTGGAATTCAACTTATAAAATGCTAGATACGTGCATTGCCTATAAGGATGCATTTGGTTATTACGAAGACGTAGACACCAGCTATGTTTGGAAACCTTCAGATTCAGATTGGGTATTGTTTGAAAAAATTAGGCCAATATTAGGAACAATGGCAGAGGCCACTACTGCATTTTCTGGGTCACTCTATCCAACTGCCAATTGTTTCTATCCTTACATAGTGAAAGTTAAGAGAGCATTGATAGGAGCGCAGCAATCTGGAGATACATATTTGATGAGTATGGCTGCTGCTATGTTGGAGAAATTTGATAAATATTGGGAGGAGAAGAACAATGTTATGGTTATAGCTACAATTCTTGACCCTAGGTTCAAGATGAGGTACATTAAATGGTGTTTTGCACAGATTTTTGACCCAGTTAGGTGTGAAATTGAGATTAATGACATCAACCAAGAGTTGGAAAGGCTCTATAACAAGTATGAGATATTAAATCGGCAAAAGATGGGTGACAATGGCACGAACAGGCAATCAACCTTAGCTTCACTTGATACAACCAGCTCAATGACCTCTATTGCAAGTGATTTCCAGTCATTTTTGCAATCTAGTGCTACAGAAAGTTCAAAATCTGAGCTGCTGATTTATCTAGATGAACCAAATGAGCCCATAGATAACAAGCATTTCAACTTACTCAGATATTGGAATGTGAACTGTCATAGATTTCCAGTTGTGTCTAGCTTGGCAAAGAGGTTCTTGGCTGTTCCAGTGAGCAGTGTATCATCAGAGTGCACCTTCAGTAATGCAGGTCGAGTTCTTGATGACTACAGAAGCTCTTTAAAGCCGGCCACAGTTCAGGCATTAGTGTGTGCATCTAGCTGGATAAGGGGCACTAATGATGACAACAATCATCCTCTCGTGGTATGGATTCATATATATAAGTATATAACTTGTTCTCTCTTTTCAACTTTGTTTGTCTTGTGACATGCTAATATTTTTTCTATTTTTAGGTTGGAGATGATGAAGATGATGTCGAGTCTATTGAATTCCCAAAATGCATGGTGTCCAGCAATTAGTGTCTAGTGGGGTACATGTGCTCAGTCTGTGCATTCTTTTTTTTTCTTGTTGCTTATCTTGTTAACACAGTGTTGTTTGTTGTACTGTTATTGACCTATAGGAAAGGGGAAGGACTGAACGAGGGACATTTTGCCATGGAGAAGTCTTAACTGACCATGCCTTTTGTGTGTTTGCATGGAAATACAGAATGATGGAACTTCAACAATGTGTCATTCTGCTATGTTAACTTATGTTATGTACTTATGTTTATGCGCCCTTCCTATCTAGCTGATGTCGTACTTTGCAATTTGCATGGATGATAGTTGATGGATGAATATGTGATGGAGACATGGCCGATGGACCTAATTTGTACTCTATTGCATGTGTATGCATATGAATATGATGCTTGCTGCTAGCATGTATGAATGTATGATGGATAAATATGTGGTGTATCATGTATGACTCATTGAAATGTATGGTAAGTCTTCATTTTACATTTTTTCGTCCTGGGCTCACGAGCCAAACGAGCTAGCTCGAGCTTTTTCCCGAGCCGAGCCGAGCTAGTTTTTTAGCTCGTTAGGTATAACGAGCCGAGCCGAGCCAGCTCGTTAACCTACCGAGCCAGACCGAGCCGAGCCGAGCCGAGCCGAGCCGAGCCGAGCCAGCTCGATATCCAGCTTTACACCTAGATAACCTCAATCAAACCATACACAATACAATGAATCAGTAAAAACCAACAGGAAACGCAGCAACCGCTGATCGACAAACACAGGTCTTCTATTCAAAGCAAAGATACAATGTTCTGCAGCAGTATACTGATAGTAGTACATACCAGCTGACCAGGAATACCCGCAGCTCAAGATGATAGGGCTGATCACAGGTAAAGTAATTTCCAATAATAAAATGATAAAATCACCAGACTTTCGCTTAGTTAAGGTGTAGACAGGATACAGGGTATCAGTGTATCACTGTGGACGAACCTCAACAGACACAAGGTCAAACAGATCTCTTGTAGGGGTCCTTGCCATGGTTGGCACCATTGTGGCGGTGGAAGTCTCCCGCGTTGCCTCCTTTGGTGTTCCGCCCAGTTCCAAAAGCCTTCTGATCAGCTTCCCTCGTTTTATTGTTCTTGTCACGGTACCCAGCTGTAGCCGAAGTATCCTCTGCCTTCTTCGCTCGAGATGGTGGTGCTCCGTGTGGTCCGAGATAGATGTTCTCTGTATCTTTGGTGGGCTGTAGCAACAAAGCGTCAATATAAAGTTAGGGGCGTCACATGCATGGACAACAATCATGAACCATATGAAACCACCAGTGCAAGTTAGCTATTCTGTGAAACGCAAAGCTCCTCTCATATTTCAGGACAAGCATGTTTCTTCAGAACACTCAGTGTGACATAGAATTTTTGCAGTTAGTTGGCCCTCATTCATGGCACAAAGAAATGAAGATATGCTGCTGTTTTGCGTTCATAAAGGGATCCAGAACAATGACATGATGATTAGAAAAGGACCTTTGGAGGTGGTTGAGGATCAGTAGTCCGTGAAGCTTCCCAGTCACCGAGATCAGATTCTTCAACACTAAAACTTGGGATCACAAAGTCATCATTATCTGTGACATAAAACCAAACATGTCAGAATACATTCCCTCAGAAACAAACCAACATTCAGTCTTAAAAACTAATCAACTTAAATTTTCCTGTTTGTCTGAAATGTGGTCAAACAGGATGGTTAAAGTGCAAACAAACATTAAAAAAACTTACTACTAGATAAGGTGCCACATAAGCAAGTATGATAACATCGCACTAGAGTTATGAAGAGAGAGAGAGGGGGGGAGTTAAGAAACTGGGTGTACACTGTTTCCAAAACTTGGAAACTGTTCCACACTAGCATTATGAGGCAAAAGTTTCATTTCATCCAACAATGCACAATCCTCCAATCGCATGTCAAGCATGAAATGCTATGACCAGCCTATGAAACAACAAAATTGAAACTAAAGCATTCGAAGTTGTTTCATCCATCAACACAAAACACTCTAGAACTGTGGCACCCTTGGAAACAACATAATAAAACTCCCCCATTGGGATTGACCTAAGGAGTGCAGATGCATCCAAAGAGATGAAACCAAACAATAAAGCCTACTCAAAGAATGCACAGAAAATAAGGACCTTACATGACAAAAACAGCAGAAGAATGCACCATATAAAACTAAAAACAGATCCAGCAAGCAGATCAGATTAATTGATTAAAAGAACATGGGAGCAGCAGAAGCCCATGGACACAAGAGACAGAATAGACCATGGATAAGAGACACAGATCAGAAAGTGAATCATGCTGCCAGCTTCAATCCTATTGTTACATACTTTTAGAGCATTCAGTGTCATCTGAAGTAAGTTTTTCAACTTTCTTGTTATCATCTCTATATAGGCCTTAGGAGGGCACAGCCTTGTTGCAGGTACAAACGAAGGAAACGTAAAGTGGGAGTTCTCTGGCCTATCATTCAACTTAATGGACCAGAACATCAATGTGTATGTATTAACACCCAATGACCCAATCAAAGTAACATGTCATGTCAACAACCCATCATCAAAAGTCTGTCAACCCATATAAATCAGGCCAATTTGAGTCACCTGTCAAACTTGACGGACCAAATCATTATTGTGGGCCAAGACGGTGGGCAAAGAAATAAATCACATTGTAACAGTACAAGAAGTCAAGAACCTAACGTCACTGATCCACCAGAAAAAGGCAAACTACTTCCAGCCTACCAGGATGTCATGCCAACTACATGAGAGATGCCTTGTGCCCTCTGCACACACGAGAACCTGTCCCTACGGTAAATAGTTCTACAGCTGGGTCACATGAGATGGCAACATCGAAGACAGTTACCAAAAGCACCCTTATCATGCTTCAAACACAGCTCTGTTTTTCGCAATATCATTTATTCTTTGGCCAAACTCTGCCTACAGGACACAGAACAGGCATGATACACAAAAAATCATTTACCCAAATCTTCCCCTCCCCTCTACACATTCTTCAGGGAACTCCCCAAATACTACCCACCTAGACAATTTACATGCTGCAATGATAAAAGTAAGGTGTAGAACAGCTTTGGTGGCCAAATCCTGCCAGTGGGTCGCCTCAATGCCTAGGTGGCACTTAGGTGATGACTCAAAAAACACACAGCATGCAACTGCTAATGTACTCTAATCACCTTCACCTGTTCCAACCCAAAGCATACAACTGGTCACTGTCATACAGAGCAGATATTACACAAAATTAAACAGTACAAGTGTACTACACATGTAAGCAGTAAAGCCATGGTAAAGAAAGACTGCACTAGCAATAAATATAAAAAATTTGGTGCATGTCATGTAATCCCCCACTGCAAAACATTAGGTTTAACTTATATGTTCAAGTAAGAGCTTAAAAATGGAACACCACCTGAGGCACCTCAAAATTTCAATGTTTTACACATTATCATTAGAATGTGCACACTGTTAGATGTTGCTTGATTTAATACAAACTGATTTATTTTTTGTGACAATTACTAGCTTGCTTCAATAGATAAGCTCAAACAAAACACAGAACTGGTGCTACAGGAATACCATTGGATTGCTTCTTTCTGTTTGACACAGCGATACTTTGTAAACATACACCTCCAAAGGCGATTCAGGGGAGACTTAATAACTTGGGTTGAGTAGTTCAATAGACATGTAGTAATGCCGCACTCACATCTTGTCATTCCATAACTCTTCATCTTTACAACTTTCAGTCTTTAGGTCATGTCGCATGCATAAAAAACACTGACGTCAAAGTTGTTGATTAGTGACTGCGAGAGATTGAGTTTCCTAAGTTTCCAAAGACAACTAAGATATTTTACAAAATCACAGACAAAAGGTTTGGATCATATGGATGGGAAAAAAATTGGGATGTAAAGAGCAATCAACGAAACTGAATATTCATTAACATTGTTATCTCAAGGAACCTAGAAGAAGTGAAGAACGCAGTTGGTTCGTAATACCTATTGATCCTTCAGAAATACAGTAAGGGCAAAGACCTGAGCTATCTATGATAATGCAAGCCCCCCTTAACTATTCTTCGCTAAGAATAACTAGCTCCAAAACCAATTGTCTCCATAATTTAATATCCACTACTGCCAGCAAAATGTGTGATGTGATAATCTAATTCTGATTCAGGGTTTTTTCCCCAACCATGTTGACCTTGAAGAGTCCAGCATAGGAGCCGTTAACCCCAAGCATTTTGATACAACCATTTCCTTCTAGCAGCAAGCCAATACAAACTATGTGTATTTCACTGCTCAGCCTAGAGGCTAACATCACAAACCAAATCGAAATATCTCTTGCTGCACATAGTACTACGGAAGGTCACAAACGCAGCTAAAGTTACATCGCACTCACTAAGTCTGTTCGCCCCACGAGAAACGTTCGTTCATCATCTGCGCTCTGCAAACCCTAAGTCAGTTCCTAAATAAACAAGGAAACGAAGCCATGGGGCAGGAAGTAAAGCTTCAGCACAATATGTTGCGAGGGATGGGGGTGGGGGTGGGGTGGGACGGGTTTATTAGCGTTACCCCAGTCATCGGCATCGTCGGCGTCGGAAGCGGCGGGGCCGGTCAGCCGGTGCGGATCCATCAGGCGCAAACGGACATCGAACTCCGGACGCGGATGGGCGCGACAGCCCGGGTCCGCTACTTCAAGGGTTCCGGCGGCGGCGGCGGTGGGGAGGAGGGGGAGGTGTGGTGACTGGTGAGGTTAGGCGGCCGCCGGCCACGGAATCAGGATGAGGAAGGCGGCTGCGCTGTGGCTGGAGGAGCAGATGCGGCGAGGGAAGGTCGGAAGGAGAACAAAACAAAGCAAGAGATGATGAGAAGGAACTTGAATTTGGAATCTGGTAGGTGGTATGACAACTTTACCCCTGTATTTCTGCTCCTCTCACAATTTTACCCCTGTCTTTCTACTCATCTCGAGCTGGAAAAAAAATGAGAGAAGTCAAAACCCAACAGTTACTGAGGGACTCTGGCAATAAATACTCACGGAAATCGTCGGAAGAACTTCTTAATCGTTTCTGTTTCTGTATACTTCTGAATACTATTTTTATTACCAAAAACAATAGCCACAACCAAAAAACTGAGGTGCTGTTTGCGAGCATTTAACGATGGGATCCGATAATGTATTTGCTTCACTATCAACGGGATCCGATAGTAAGGTAACAAATAGTAAGGTAACCGACCTTGTACTTCAGTAGATTGATTACTGTCCAATTTCAACGGCAACAGATGTCCCGTCCGCCCTGTTACTACAGATGAACCAAAACAAACATATAATCGTCGATTCACTTCCCATTTTAGCGGCGGGGATATTCCCTTTACATTCACAATACCTTTGTACAACCAAACAACACTTAAAATTGCATGATTGACAACGAACAAATGCAAACGGCAGCACGCCAGCAAGAGCTCGACTATTTCACCGCACACATGAGACTATCTAGGGGGGTTCTGTTTAGAAACACCCCCTCCTCCAAGTGACCCTACATTCGCCCCCTTCGCTCTCCTTTGGCGTCCTCGCCAGAGATGAGAGTGGAGAGAACCAGCCACCCATTCCCATAATTTAGTATATTAAATTTAGTGTTTTATTTAAAATTTGGCAGAGTGGCCGCTGTCTCTAACAACCGCAACCCAAAATACAAGAATAATTCGTCCTTTGGATAGCGTTATAGGCAAAGGGTTCAATACCTATTTTTGGTCTTCTCCAACGACAAGACCCAAAAGGCAATCTTTTCTGCAAATGGGTCTCTAGGAGAGAGAATACTCAGATTTGAGTTATGCCTCTCCTGTCACCTAAAATGAATCTTCTATATAGATACTCTGTTGGAGGCTATAGGAATTATATTGGAGACCCATTTTAAGTTTGGATTCCATAATAAATCTCCTGTTGAAGACAACCTCACAATCATCAACCTCGTGTGCCTCATCGGTTGCTATGGTTTTAAGTTGAGTCTGAATAAAATAATCTCCTCCCTCTACGGATCGGCTGCGTCTTGCCTCCACTCGCCATCGCTTAGTCCGATCGTAACTTAGTCGATTAAATTCTTTTGGTGAGACCTTTCCACGTGGATTAAAAATCCTCAATTTGGCAAGATGCTTGCATTTTTCTGATTTGATAACGTTATTCTTTTTTTAGGCATGTACAACAGAGGATAGCTGTTGTCTGTCGTCCTGTTCGCTTGGCTTATAAGCTGTACTTTTTCAGCCAAACGAACAATATTTTTCTCTCACAACAAATCAGCCAACGGTATTTTCAACCATGGCTTATCAGCCAAAGCGGACAGGGCATGTAAGTTCTTGAAATTTATAACACAGACAGCTATACAGACAACTCATACAACCCACAGACAATTGCTATTTGTTTGGTTGTCTACAAATCATTTAATGCTTGCATATAGCCATGATCAATCATGAATACTATTTCTATATACCATTGTGTTGCTAATTGATGCAAAACACAAGAGACATGTAGACGTTTGACAGATTCACACAACGAAATAAGTTCACATACAGGTCACAGCTGACAAGCAAACCAAAAAGATAGGTCACAAGATAAACCATATAAAAGTAGGTTCCATAAATTCCCAAAAAAAACAGCGGGTTCCAGGTTTAAGTGAAAGATTGCCTAGTACAGAACTGAACGTGGGTGGCTTTGGCTATCAGGTCATGAACACTATGCACAAATACTAGACATGAACGAATAGCCATGACATTTTTGCAAGAACACGCACATCAGAGACGACCAGGCCAAGCAGAACTTCCACGGTACGTAATGGATTGCACATGGGTTGCCTTCTCCATCAACTTAAGTTCTAAAAACAGGTCCTAAAACTCCATCCAAGTCAAGCACTGAAACACCAAAAAAGGGGAGATCAGCCATCTGGAGGCTCGGTCTCACACATTCTGCAGACAAGTTGTCAAACCTGATCAGTAACTGAAAATAATTGTGTGAACATCTCCAATTTTTATGCGCAAATAATAGGTACACTGAAAATAATGATCTTCAAAAACATTCTCTAGCTAGAAAAAATTTAGAACTAGCATAGTGTCGTTGACGGTAAATGAAAACATTCTGAGTTGGACTAAGTGAAAACATTCGATTATCAATTCTAGTGAACTGAAACATTCAATAACTACAAAAAATTCAGTGATCAGTGACTTCCCTTTTGAAGGTTTGATCCTTTAGACTTCCCTTTTGCAGCTAGAGTTAATACATAAATCCACCAGGGGGATGTGTGCTGTTGTCCCTATAAAAGTTTATACATGAACTTAGTAATTCTTAGTAATACTCAGTAGTACTCTTATCAAATTTCTTACTGGACTTGTAATTCTCAGTAATACTCAATAGTATGCAGTAGTAATTATCAGTAGTACTCAGTAGTAATCTTATCAAATTACTCAGTAATTCTCAGTAAATTGAAATGCAGACTATATATTAAACTAACTCTATAAACCAATACATGACCAATTTGGAATTGACCTTTCCCTGAGTTACAGTAGCAGCCAAAACAAGCACTTCACAGCACAAAATGTGTAGAACATTCATTCAGTAACCGGTATATATATGTCATGGGAACCGAAGTAGATACTTCACAGACCAAACTAATCAAAGATGCAAACAGACTAAACATGATCTCTAGGATAGATTTCCTCGATGAGCAGAAATGCATAATACGAATTCAAGCAAATCAAGGATTACCATGCTAGATCCCAACTTGATTGATGCCCAAACTGAGGAGAACTTGGACTGATGGAGCCAAATCCGACTGGGTAGCCTCGTCTGCCATGGATTGGTGAAGAATCGACGCCATCTGTCAGGGATTGAGGATGAATCGTATCAGGCGAGGGGTTGGGTGTTGGGGACGAGCTGCTTCCGCGGCCGACGAAGGGCGCTGCCATGCCATTGCTGAAAACGGCTAGATTGGGTGCTGGGGCCGAGCCGCTTCTGCGAGGAAGTCTGCTCGCAGCCATCCCCGCCGCCTCTGCGACTGCCGCCGCCATCGCCACTGGTGGCGCTGCCTTCGTCTTGCTCTTCGAAGGCACCGCGGCCTTCCTCTTCAAATCCCGACTAGCCATCATGAGACAGGAAGGGGCGGAATCCGGCGAAGGCGCAAGGGCGTCGGAGGCTGATTTGGGCGAGAATGGCGGCGAAAGATGGCGCGGCTGAGACATATATGTGAGGATTTTTGGCGCGATTTTTTCCCTCTCGCACGCAGCTGGATCCGCACGGCGTCGGCTCAAGAAGACGGCAACATACAACGCCAAGCTGGCCGTTGAGTTCGCTTGGGAGCACGAGCCCTCGTTGTCGTCTCACTACGCGATGGCTTCACTCTCTCTTCTCATTTACAGTAGCGAACCGGGGGGGAGGGGAGATTTTGCAAAACTTCCATTCGGAGACGACGGCCAGCACGCCCGTTGTACGTGCCCTATAGAAGATGAAGTGCTTGTGATGACTTCACGAATCCCAAATTTGTCGACTTAATTTCTTATAGAGGTGTGCCTATGGGTAGCTTGTCCATACGTGTAGTCATAATAGTCGGTGTGCATATAAGTATGTGAGCGTCTATATTTATATTGTATTTATTTAAAGAAAACTTTATGTAGGGCTAAAATTTTACAATTGACTGTATGCGTATGTTGTTACAGACATTTCAGTGCTAGCGGTTTCTTTTTAAGAAGCTCATTGTTAAGGGTTGTATCAGGTATAAGTATTCGTAATCACTATCAGGTGGGATCACTGTGGTGTGTGGTGCTGCCGAGTGGAGGAAGCAAGCACCTTGGCCCTAGAGTGTGGTGCGGTTGAGCCTGGTTGTGCGCGGGTGTGCCTCCGCGGCTCAGCGGTCGGAGCTTGACACTTTGGTGGCCTGGCCGCCTCGCGACCGCAGTCCGCAGCAGTCGCCGATGAAGGACGGCGCGCTGCTGCGTGCTTGTCCGCGTGCGGGCTGCACACTGTGAGCAGATCTGTCCCAGACTCCCTGTTCACCGCCCGGCAAGAGAGGAAGCGGATGGACACGCAGAGCCGCGGCCCAAGAGAGCCCCCAAGCTCAGCAAACGTTTCGCAGGCGGCAGGCCCAGAATGGACAACGTAACGTGAGCTCCTGAATATAAAGGAGAACGAGATAGAGCTACAGGGGACAGATTCAGACAAGTGTAAACTGAAACCTTCTCAATTCAAATCCTGTCCTCGCCGATTCCGTGCTCCTCCTGTCTTCACCTTCCTGCTTCTTCTTCCTTCCCAAGCTGTCGCTAACACACCAGTTTCACTCACCCATTAGAGTCCAGCATGCCTGGATCTGCTAGGGATGGTATTTTAATTTGTCGGCAGCGTCACCGCGGGCCAAATGTGATGTGACGAAGGATCAGAGCTTTGTTTATTGATCACTCGTCGCCGTCGACCTTCCGACATCACTGATCGGACGACAACACCGTAGCCCACTAGCCGTGTTGTGTTAATCATATACTAAATCCGTTCCGAATTATAGTTCGTTTGATATTTTTTACCTCAATTTTGACCACTCGTCTTATTCAAAAATTTATGTAAAATATCACTTCTTTTGTTACGGCTTGTTTTATTAACAAAAGTTCTTCAAAAATGACTTAAATTTGACTATTTTATACATATTTTTTAAATAAAATGAGTGGTTAAATTTAAGGTAAAAAAAATCAAATGAACTATCATTTAGAACGGACGGATAG